AATAAATATGCTCCTTGAACATAATTACAGATCCAGAAAGCAACATTACCTCAGCCACTTTTCTGGATTATTTTTCTACATAATTTCTGCAGAACCCTCATAAATCAGGCTGAGAAATCAGACAGCAGTCCAGAGTTCAGATCAGTTTCTCCACCTACCCGGGCGGACTAGATGATGTTGGGGCAAGTTAAACAAATTGAAACCACACCCTCTGGTAGCACACTTCTCACTCGATGATCAGGAGCCACCATTCTCTATTTTCCCTCATGGACAGAAAATAGTGCTTTGGGCATATAAGATGAACTAGAGAGTTCACGCAAATAAAGTAGGGAACCAGTGAGCACAGCTGCAAACTGTCCTGCATGATCCCTCATTAGGAAAAGCATGGCACTTTTCCTGGCAATCCAAATGGAGTACCTGCAAAAGTGACTGTCAATTTCAGCCACACTATACCTTTCCCTCTGTGGCAAGGCAACATCTGTACCATAACAACATGAACTGTTAAGAAATTACTCAGGAAACAAAGAAGAGTTTAATTTACGTTTTAAAATAAAATCCATAATTGTGAAAGTGCTCAAGAAATACAGAGGGAATAGATCAAAGTATATATACAGATATCAGCTAAAATCTTTCACCACTGACACAAATCAGTTAAAATTTTCAAAAACCACTATTTTTGAAAGTTCACAGTACAGAAAAGGAAAGTGTTAACATAGACAAGGAGACAAGAATATATTACCAAGTCTATAGGCTAATTAATTAAGCAATAGCCAAATCAAACCAAACTGTAGCTTTTTATCTATATGAAGAGTAACAGCTGTGAGACAGATAGCCAGCATATTATGGGAAACAATTTAAGATAATATGCAGAATGATATAGTTAGTACAAGTATAAGAAAGCAGAAGAACAAATTTGGGACGAGCAAAAAAAAACAAAAAACCTTGGTAAATATATTGTCCAGATATACAGGAATAGAATCAGATTTACAGAATCTATTTTCAAAATATTAAACATAACAAAAAAAAACCTCTCTATCAGACAGTTCTTTCAAGTCAGTTAAGAAAATAAAAATCCATAATGGCTAAACAGTTGACTGACATGCAAAGGAAATACAGAATACCATTGGTAAGCAAATCACTTCAGAAAAAATACATCATCCTTTTTATAATCCTATCAACCTCTAACTATCCATAAAAGGTTGTGATTTTGGATAAGGCTTGCCAAATGTATTCACAGCTGAAATAATATTTGAAACATTTATATTTGAAAGAAAATAAAACAATAAAACATGAAAAGCAACTAAAGAAACAAATTAATGAACACAACAAATGGTTCTATTAAAATACTTGCTGAACAAAAACAAACTCTTGGCATAGAAAAGAAAACCTTGGGACTTTCTAGAGAGGCCAGACAAAGACAAGTACCCCTGATAAACCCCCCACTATGGTCAAAGGATTTTTTTAGAAACTAATAGAAATACATTAAACCCATGAAAAAAAAGTTAAGCTTGGTTCCAGGAATTTTCTTAGAGACAATATAGTTAATACCATTGGCAACAACACTGAAATTGTTTGCCACTTTCTTCTTTTGTCACAAAGGAAAAAACATATTTAACTCCCAAATAGGATAAGGGAGGGGGTGGTATTCTGAAAATCGAAAACAGTTTGAAGCAATCTAGTCTGTCATCAATTATACCTTTCAAACTATATTCAAACACAGTCCCATACACAATATACTACAGGTAGTCCTCAACTTGCAACCAGAAATTGAGCCCAAAATTTCCATTGTTAAGTGTGACAATTGTTAAGTGAATTTTGCCCCATTTTACAACCTTTCTTGCCACAGCTATTAGGAGAATCACTGCTTTTGTTAACTTAGTGACATGGCTGTTAAATGAATCTGGCTTCTCCCTTGACTTTGGCTGTCAGGAGGTCACAAAAGGTAATCACATGACCACTGAGATACTGCAACAGTTGTTAAGTGTGCAAAATGGTCATAACTCATTTTCTTCAGTGCATTTAACTTCTAATGGTCACCAAACCAATGGTTGTAAGTCAAAGACACCCTGTATAGTGCCCCAGAAGCTGACATTTATGTTATTAACATGTTATGCAACATAATTATTTTTTCAGGTATTTTCTGTAACGAATTAAGAAAATGTATTTATATTTACATATTAAATAATCCAGAATAGAATTTTGAGTAAGCACACACACAGTCATACTACAAGACATTTATACATATAAGCTAGAGAAAAGAAGGATTAAGGTGACATGATAGCAGTATTCCAGTATTTGAGGGGCTGTCCCAAAGAAGAGGGGGTCAACTTATTTTCTAAGCATCAGAAGGCAAGACAAGAAATAATGGATGGAAACTAATCAAGGTGAGAAGCAATCTGGAATTAAGGAGAAACTTCCTAACAGTGAGAACAGTTCCTAGCCATTGGAAGGAGCTTGCCTTCAGAAGTTGTGGGTGCTTTGTGGAGGTTTTTAAGAGGAGACTGCACAGCCACTTGCTCAAATTATATAGTCTCCTGTTTGAGTAGGGGGTTGGACTAGAAGACCTCCAAGGTCCCATCCAGCTCTATTCTGATTCCAGCTTTGCAATACAAAAACTCGTAACAGATACAAGATCACAAATGTGCTTTCCAACAGAAAATTATTAACAGGAATTGTGAAATCATCCTTTACATAATAATCTTATTACAATGAAAAAAGAGGAAAACTATGAAGTTTGTAAAAGTCAGAGAACCTATATATTTCTGTTATTTTAACTGCAGTCTGGGATTCTTTAAAGACTGAGGCAGATGGCTATCATTTCAAATTGTAGACCATCTGCCTCTGATTCCAAGAGTATCTTATCAGAAGACAACTGCTTCTTACTTCATCTGAAGTCCATAATCCTTTGTAGAGAAAGCCAAAACAATTAAATTTGTCTAAATGAAAACTTGTATGATTTAAGTCATGAATTATATTAATCCTAATCCCAACATACTATTTAAAAAAATTTTTTAAATCTGGCATAAACACCATTGTTTTAAACTTATTTTTTTAAAAAATGAAATTTTTATTCTAGAAGCTATTAGTAATTTGGGATATTTATTAGATAGACTATGTTCCACTGCCACGTTTGTAGTAAGTTTAGCAGTTTTTATTACTGGACTAAATGCCTTAACCAACCTGATACTCTCCAGATACCATCCAGTATGATTTGATACTCAATGCAGCTGTGTCTAATTTAATAAGGTTCTTCTTAAACAAGAATTCACATTCAGTATCTATCCAATTGTCATAGAGTATGAACATTCATTTTTAATCTTTTAATTTAAAATATAGTCAGTCACTGATTGTTACATAAGATGTACAAAGCACATATAAAAGTTATGCTATGTATGCATCAACCTTAACGATTCTTATTCCCTACCCATATCTAACTTATTTATGACACATATCATCACTTTGAAATCCAGGGCACTCAAAAATAAAGTGTGAGCAAACATTCTTTTCCACTTAAGAGAGTGAGCACATCTACTTTCAACAGCAGAAAAGTAGCAAGTATAGTAGAAGTGTGACATTTTCACAAATGCTTGACTATGTATCATTACAGAATATTTTACATCAACTTTTTCCAATCTGACACATTCCAGCTCACACTTAACTATGGCATCTATCACAAGCTAACAAGAGCATTGCCATGCTGCCTATTAATAATGGAAGATATTGTCCAACATACTGGAAGACACACAATTGTGAATTTAATTCAGCCTTTTCTAACACCGTATAAGATCTTCACACCCATACTTCACTATTAAATAAATATACATTCAATATTCACTATTTCTCAATATTTCCCCTTGACTTCCTAGAATACTTAGGACAAATTCTTTAGCATCAAATGCATCTATGTGCCTAAATCTAAATCCTTTATTTTTGGCTTGGCTGTCTATTACAAACATTCAATATTTTAGTAAAATATGCAGCATGGCTACTGCAGCACATTTGAATTCAGTGCTAACACATCATGTAAATCATGTAAAACATATTCTGTTCAAACTAGTCAGAACTAAAACTAAAAATGCATTCACTAAATAATATCTATATTGCATGACCAGGGACCTGTTTCAGTATGTGCATGAACTGTTACATCTACCTCATATAATATGCATTCAAAGGAAGAATTTAATATTTTGTTAACATTAAGTGAAGGATTCAAAATATATGTATTACACTTGTAGAAAGTAAAGTTCAAACAAAATATCTAATCCTTCAGGTAAAAGTGTTCTGACAGATACAAGTACTTAAAGAACTATTCCCACCTCTGAAAATTGTTCTTTATCATATCTAATACTTTGCACAAGGGAAAACAAACACACAGATCCAGGCTTTTTTGACAAGTAGAAAAGGTGTTAACAAATCAACTTTCTCTTTAATTTCGAAGATATTCCTCTTAGAGGCTTCAACATTCACAGAGCACTAGATTAAGTACAATTTTAGCTAATTAAAAAAAAACCAAACATTTAAAAACCGTGAGTTCCATCACTGCCCTCAGAAACTTAATCCAACATTTAGGATACCTGCTTGCAGCCCTCACAAAGCTCAAAGAAATTATATCAAAACTTTACAAAGTACCCCCCCCCCATTTAAAAAACAAACCCAACCCAACCCATCCCATCCCATCGGCTATCAGAATCCCGTGTAAGGTGCACGATTGAGCTAAACAGTAACAACTTTGCTTCCGCAAAATCAAGCGAAAGACTCCTATTTTCGAGGTAACCACTTCCATTCAGAAACGACAAGGAGTAGGACCGTGTATCCACGAAAAAAAGGAAACGCCTTGTTGACAACCACGGTGTGCCTGAGTTTGCTACACCACCCGACCGACCCCTTGCTAGGGATGAGCAAAAAGCCGGAAGACCGGTCCCCTTATGCCTCCTCCTCACCCACCCCACCCCCAGCAGTGCTGGCAAACGGCGCTCCCTCCCTCCTCTTCGGCGCGTTACCTTGCGGACCCCCTTGTAAATGTAGAAGTAAAGCTCCCGGCCCACATTGAAGCAGAGCCGGTCCCCATTGCCACTCTGGTCGTTGACGTTGACGAAGGAGACACGAACGGGGTTGGAGCCCTGCGAATTGAAAGGCACCCGGTTGGGCCGGCTGTACTCCGAGTGGCTCAGGAGCTTGTAGAGCCCCTCGCGGGTAGTAAACTGGGTCTTAATCTCGTTCATCTCCTTCCCTCCTCCCTCCGCCGCCATCTTGGAAAGGAGCATTCATCGTCTTCCAGTACCCGGATGAAAGGCCAGCGCGCAGACGCACCAAAGAGGGAAATTGTTTCTCCTGCCTGAAAGCGCATGAAGGGAAGCTGGCGAAACGTTCGTGCCATGAAGTGGGAGGGGCGAAGCCTTTCCCTGTTTACCGCGATGCTGCGCATGCGTCACTTCGGCCTGGTGCAACGGGATGAGGTGGAAAAGATTAAAAGAGACGAGCCTTCGGAGTGAAGGAAGTGATGGGAAGATTAAAAGAGATGAGCTTTCGGAGTGAGCATGCGCCGAAGGAGGAACTACTTCCTGGTGCTTTTGCGTTGTAATTTTGTAATAGAGGAAAGTTGCAGCAAGCGCTCCGTAGGTACTTCTGTACGAAAATAATGCAGATAATTGCGGATGTGTATTTGGAAAATATATTGCACACATTCTTCGTTGTTTAATTCTTCATTTGTATTACTGAGATTGTACAACAGCTGTTATATCCAGTGATTCAATTTTTTGTTACTCAATCTTCCCAGATACATAACATATAATCTGTACCTTTGTTGCTTCTTGCCTCCCAAGAGTGGGGAAGATTTTCTGTATAAATGCATTTATGAATACAATGGAAAGTTGCCACACCTGTTAAAATGCCAGATTTTTGAAATATAAAAAAAAATCAGACCAAGATAAATCACTTTGGAATTTTTTCCATCTTTAGTATAACATATGTGTACAGTTCAATTGAAAAACAAATCTTAGGGGGAAAATAAATTAGAATGTAGCTGTGTATTCACAGCCTCATAAGTAGGAATGTGGCTATGTTCAAAATTTTATTGATGGATTAATCTTATTAATCAGAATTAATCTTATTGTTGGAAAGTATCAGAAGGGTAAAAAATTTTTCCAAGGCATTGGATATACCATGCAACACAGTGATACTCAACAGACTGTCACTTTGAGAAAATGTGGCACAACAGTGATATTACCAATTAGATACCCCTTCAAAAATTGAAGAAAAAACAAGAAAACTGGTTCAAGAGGTTGCCAAGAGGCTTACAGCAATGTCAAAGAAGTTGTAGGAATTTCTGGCAAATATTTTTCATATTTATTTTCATATTTTTCATATATCTGGGCTATAGGGTAGGGTAGCAAGATGGAAACCTTTTCTTACAAGGAAAAACAGCCAAGCCTGCCTAAATCTTCATCTAAAAACCTACATCAAGTCTGACAAAAGCACGTGGAAAAATGTGTTATGGTTTGATGAGACCAAGGTGGGCCATAAGACCCAAAACTATGATGCAAAAACAACACTGTGCATCACTCAAATGGCTTCACCAGAAGATCAAAGTTTTGGAATGGACCAGCCAGAGCCTGGACTGAATCCATTTGTGGAGTGACCTGAAGAAATCTGTGCACAGGCGATGCCTCACAATCTGACTGATTTGGAGAACTTTTTCAAGGAAAAGTGGGCAGATTCCCAAGGCAAGATGTGGCATGCTGATAGGTTCCTACCCAAAAGTCTGAATGCTGTCATAAAAATCAAAAGGTACTTCAACAAAGTATTAGTTTAAGGATATTATCTTTATGTAACCATATTATTGTAAGGTGTTTTTTTTATTATTTTTCCCCTAAACATTTTCGGTTTGTTTTTCAATTAACTGTACAGATTATATGTTTTATTAAAGGTGGAAAGAATGCTGAAGTGATTTCTCTTGGTCTGATTTTTTTACCTCTCAAAACCTGGCATTTTGACTTTTATCTGTTGTACCTTGCAACAATTTCTTTTAGTTATTTTCTGGATACTTAATTGCATTAAAATTGTACCTTAAAGACTTGGAAAATTATTACAGTATGGCATAAGACAGCCTACTTCATTAAATGCACAGAGATTTAAGCAAGTAAATGTACTTAAGGGCTGCCATATCTGAACTGAAAAAAAAATCTTAAGTAATCACCAGATGACAACAAAGGATAAAAGGGCTGGTTGTATCTGCTTCCATGTAGTGATTATTTGGATTTTTACAATCCACATAAGATAGCCATGTGCATATTGTATATAATGCCTGAGATTTTAGAAATGGATATGAACTTTAATACAGTACTGCACTTTGCAACCAGATGCATCTGATTTCCATAATATTTTACATGTTACAACCTAAGCTATATAACTAGATATGCAAATATACTCAGGTTGTATATTGCTAATTCATTTTAGAATGCAAATACAGTAATATCAAAAACTCTTCCTCAACAGTGATAAGGAACTATATAAGGAATTACTTTCTAAAAAGTTTGAAAAACCGTTAGCTGCCCTCCTTTTCTACAGCCGCCAAACTACTACAAAACATTTTTCAGGATTAATAAAACAATCTCTCTCAATTCAATTTCAATACTGCTTATTTTTAGCATTGTAAAGTATTACCTTCAAGATCTCAATATTGTTTGAGCTCCCACACACAGCCTGTTTATTGTCGTAGAAAAATGTTCCACTTACCTACCATTTTCTGTAGGGCTTTGTGCCTCCATGGCTCTTTGTGCCAGAACATTTTGTTAATGAGCCATTTGGGGGGGGGGTAGTTTGGTGAGGAAAATGTTAACCTAGTGCAAAGTTTAATGTGGGTCTTCAAGAAGACCAATATTTCCACTGATAAGTAGAAGTAGATTAGTAGAAACCAGTCCCATTTTTCCCCAGTTCAGAGTTGGGAAGAATAGTCACATCTGCACAGCATGTCTTCCATTTGGGCACCAATGTAGAAGAAAATTATATGGCCAAATTGTTTGCTGTGGATTTGCAGTCATTGTAATCCATTTTTGCAGTGTGAGTGTGCGTGAGCCAAGCGGGCCTCCTTAACCTTGATCAGGGATTGTACGGCCACAGTGCAGGAGGCTGTTCTTTTTCTCCATTACTTCCTCCTCCAACTCCAGTTTTAGCTGTATTTACCCCTGCATATTCTGTAATGGATGATAGAAGAGCCAAAATGGTAGAACTGAAGGCATATCAGGGCCACATCAGGGAAACTTGACTGGACATCCTACAAGTGTGAAAACAGCCACTTGTCCCAACAGGTATAAGAGGAATGTTATGGCAGCTACATTATTTTTCTTTTGAGATTTCTTTAGCTTTGGCAGAGGGGCAATTTAATTTATGCTGAACTAGGCCGTTGCTATTGTATGCAATGTTTAAAAGGCAGACATATATGCATGCCATTTGTCGGTAGTTGCATAGATGCAGTTACAGATATGTGTGTGCATTCACACATCTCCTGCCAGCCTGGGAGGTAGACTCTGCCAGATACTCCTCATCTCTCCTTCTCTCTTGTGTAGTTTCTTTTGTCCAGGAGCAAGTAACCAATGCTGCCATGAAATTACCAAGTGTTCAGTTGAAGGCAAACAGATTACAGATAGTCCTTGACTTATAATAGTTGGGACTGGGATGTTGGCCACTAAGTAATACAGTTGTAAATAAGTAATCATAAGACTAGACCCAATTTTACAACCATTTTTACCACAATCATTAAGTGAATCATAAGGTCATTAGGTAAATCTGGTTTCCCCAATTAACTTTGCTTGTCATAAGTCAGCTGGGAACATTGCAAATTGCAACTAGGTGACCACAAGATGCTGCAACCATTGCAAAAAATGAGTTGGTTGCCAAGCATCCAAATTGTAGTCACATGACGGGGGAAGGTAGTGCAGGTCATAACTTTGAGGATAGGTCATTAGTAACTTTTTCTGAGGCCAATGTAACTGCAAACCATTGCTAAATGAATGGTCGCAAATCAAAAATTACCTGTATTGGCCTTCTAACTAAGCCTCTTTTATATCAGTATATTTTCTTCTCATCTCAAGAATTGGAAAAAAATACCAATGTGTGGATGAGCCTATAAGTAGGCATTCTATGCTGTAGAATATAATGCCCTGAATGCCATATAAAGAAAAATGTTAGAAAATCATCTACAGACCCTTATAAATCAGTACATAAGCAATTTGTCTGAATTAATTTCATTTAACCAGTCATATTTAGATATATTTTCAGCAAATCATAGCTGTGAAAATCAGCACTTTGAATGACATCCAGAAACCAACTGATAACCAATACAGCTCGCGTAGCATTGGTGACATATGCGTACAGGGAGAAGTGACTGTTACTGCTTGCACCACTGCATTTTGAACCAGCTGTAGCTGCTGGCTGGTCTTCAAGGGCAGCCTTGTTTTGTATTGTCTGATCTGGTAGCTTCATTTTTGCATTTTCACTGCTATTGTTACAAATGGCACTTTTTACATTTTGTGACCATCTATAACTGTCCTCCTTCAAATCATATAATGTTGAGGACTTTTCTCCATGGAACATACACCATAATAACTTGATTAGCCATTACAGTGCTACTACAAGACAATTGGTTTATTTATTCGTAAGACTTATATGGCTGTCCACCTTCAGACACAACTGGGTGGCTCATAGCAATTGTACAGAACCAAAAACATCATAGAAAAATGATAACACATAATAAAAAAAGCAAAAAAAGAAAAACTTGAAGCCACGACCAATAACCTCCAATGCAGCTAGCACCATGATCGCCAGGCTCCAACCTCACCCTATGCCAGCACTAGGGGGAAGGAGTAGCCTTTAGCAGCCTTCCAGAAAGTCAAGAGGCTGGTGACCTGCTGAAACTCTAAGGGAAGAGTATTCCACCAGGCAAGAGTTGCTATGGAAAAGGGACCCTTCCTTTGTTCCACTAAATGGCAATATGTAAGGGAGGGAACCTAGAGCAAATCTGCTCTTTCCAGTTTGGTAGAATCGGGCAGAATCACTTAGGGAGAGGTGATTGTGCTATGTAGAGCTTTAAAGAAGATAATCAGCACCTTGAATTAAAACTGGGGGGAAACTGCGAGTCAGTGCAGCTCGCACAATAGGGGTGTATAATGGACAAACCTAGGGGCATCCAACACCACATATACTGTTGCATTCTAGACCAGTCGTGACCTCCAAGCGATCTTCAAGGGCAGCCCCATGTAGAGCATG